GACACTTGCGCTTTCTTACGTACAGTATGTCGAGGATGATTTTGAACATTTGAATCAGGTCCCTTTGTCCTATCCTATCTGCTTGCTTCAAGTCTATATGATGTCTTCCCTTCCAGAAAGCCAATAGCTCTTTTGTAATGTGGTGAACCCAGCTAATGTCATCTTGGTTTTGTAAAGAGGGTGCTACAATGAAAGATGAGCTCTCAATGGATACAAAATGACATTGTATTTGACTGCAGATGAACACATTGAACACAATATCAAGGATCAGGGCAATTGCAGGGGACGTTTTGTTGAGTTTACTTGTATTTTGCTCAGCTGTGGGGAGGAACTGAAGCAGAGGCAACCTTTCCTTTGCTTTTATTTATTTTTTGTGCTCTGAAATTCCCTGAGTCTGTTTTTGCAGAGTTATCCTGGTCACCATGGTCTATGGCTTCTGCCTTGTGTGTCCTTTCCTCTCATTAAGATAAATGAATTCCAAACCCAAAGTGTGCATCAGCACAGTATACACCCAGTAATTATCCGCTAACCACGGTCCTGACAGAGCTTTTCCTCAACATGAAAAATTGATGCCGTATTTCCAGGAAATTAATTGCTTTTCACAAATAGGTGCCGTGAATAATTTTACTTCTTCCCCCACTTTCTTTCTGCCTGTTCTGGTGCCTTTCTGTCCTGCAACAGCTCTCTTTATCATACCTGTCCAGATATGTCCTGCAGGAAGTCTGAAGATGAAACATGTACCTGTAGCTATGGCAAGACAGTCATGTTAACCAGTGTTTTGTATCTTCATGAATGTCATTGATTTTCTATTCTGAATGCAGTCAATGTATAACCTGAGGCTTCCTGCACTTGATGCACTTGTTCTTTCTCCCCTTCCTGCCCATAGCTTGTGTGTCAGTCCAGCAGCACAGCTCAGCATGTGAATGACCAGCTGGACTCCTTGTTTCTGACCTGGCAGTGCAGGGTCTCCACCGTGAGAGGTGCAGGTGTTTCGCTGTTGTCTGCCTGACACTGTCACGACCACCAACCCGCCCAGACCAGCCCCCAAGAGAACTAATCAGTACCAGCAGCAGGGCGATCATTACAAACGCCGCCGCATGTGTTAACTCAACATCAGACGTCCTACCATGCAGCAGGCTGCACTATTTAAGCCTCTCCAACCCGCATATTGCCTATTTCGGTATTGAGTATACTCCTTGAGAGCTCTACCTAGCAATTTCTATACCCTGTGACTACCTGGATTATCGACTACCCTTTTCGCCTTCGGACTTCGGATTGGTAAATTGGTAAATGGTGGTAAAATAAATTGGCATGTTGTCTTTGTGGACACTAAGCTTAGAAACATTTTACAAGATGGTATTTATGTCAACTTACCTATTTAAAAAAAAGTTTTTAATATAGGTAAGTATATTGTTTTGATTGCTTAATGATCTTAAAGATTTGATTAATTTTGCATTTAGACATTTAGTCTTCTTTTGGATTCTTGATTATCTGTTGCGTAGTTGCACAATGATTGTATAACTACATGACGATTGCCTTACAAACATGTTGGTCTATTTTCCAGGTCTTGGCAGATACTCTGTTCTGGGCATT